TGAGACAGTCTCTAAAATTTATTTAAAATATTTTTAATCCTTCCAAAAGAAAAATAGCAAAACCTAGATCTGTTTGGGCTGTTGGTAAATTTTGCTAACATTACAATTTTGAAAAGTGATTGATAAAAATAATTGTGGAGAACTCAAATTCAACATTTATTTCACTGTTCTCCAAACCCAATTCACCTTTGTGGATTTTATATTGTTTAACTCAACTATTTAGTATAAATTATATCTTACCTAAATTAACTCCAGTTTCTTTAAGAGCATTTAGTTAGCATTCCCATAATGATTCCAAGGATAATTGTAAAATTAAATATATGTCTTTCATGAAGAAGTTCCCTATTTAGGCAAATCCAGAAAATGACTTATATAATCTCTGAATTGCTACAAAGAATGCCAATGAAATTGGCACAGTTAAGGCCATGCCTGTTATTTAAAAAATGCAGTATACCTCAAGCAAGATACAAAGCATGCTTCTGGAGTGCAGATCAAAATTCTGATAAGTGCATTTTATTTCTACCAACTGTATAAGTGTTAATATAATAGGCTTACCCTAGACAATCTTTTAAACTAGTGAGGACAATGGAGAGGTATCTTTTTAGGTCATCACTTAAACTGTACTTTTAACAAAAGGTCTAAAAATCAGTTATATAATCATTAATATCGATTTTTTAATATTGTTTCCTGGTAATTCAATAATATATATAATTAATCTTATTTTTTGATACCAACATATTTTTGGTATACTCTAGTTGAAGTGAGTATAATTTACCTTGTTCTTTATAGGCATAATTTACTATCTATAAATTAATAAGTTCATTTTTAATTTTTAGCTGAATAATCACTTTAATTATTTTTATCTGTTTTAGTTGTTTTGCAATTCTAGCATACAATTTCAGAATCATATCTGTTTAGTCTAAAATTTTTCCACTGTTACATTTTTATAAAAACTTTATCCTTGCACCATGAAAAATATCATTATGCTTGCCTATGTTATATTAGACATCATATGATTAAGACATTCACGCCAATGTTATATTAGTGTTTGTTGAAAATTTTCAATTATTGCTCTTTAGTCTGTTATTAGTGCTAGCAATTACATAAATGCTTTCTTTGTGCACGTGCAACCTGCTCAATTTCATTATTTTCAATTTTACACTATTTACACATGATCTCTTTGAGCATATTCAATTTCTATTTCTATACTCATATTCCTGCTTTTTGTTGAACTCTATGTTAAATTTTTTGTTTCTATTATTATTCCAATATATAATCATTCTAAATTATTTAAAGATTAGATATGAAAAAGCTGTTATTCAAGCAAACAAAACAGAGGTATATTTATGAAAGAACATAAAATAAAATAATATGGAAATATGTAATTCAAATTGTTTTCATGTTTCTCCAAGTTATTTTTCCAAAATATTCATAATTTATTAAAATGAAAATGAAAAATACTAAATATAAAAAGGTGTATAGTATTTTATTTAAATAAATAAAAATTATTTAAATAAAGTACTCTCAAAATTAATGTTTACAATTTGAATTTTATTCTATACAATGAAATAAAACTATTTGCAAGGTGGTAATTCAGTGTTCAGTCACCACATTAAAGAAGCAATATCATGCTTCCAGTGTGTTGCATCTGCACCAACAAACACACTTATTTCAGAGCAATAGGAATTGCTTAATCTTGCAAAATGTTACTTAGCCTCCATGCGCAAGTGTTGCAAGCTATACTCATTTATACATGTAGAATGAAGGAACAAACCCAAAGAAGAAAACGAATGAAGAGCAATTCTGGGAAACAAAATTTCACTATTAAACATTCTACTCCACACATGTTATCTAAAAAGAAGGCTTGACAAGTTGATTGATGGGTCTTTTCTCTTACCTAAGTACTGCTATAGTCCAAATGCCCCCTGCACTCTGAAACAGCATCCATTCCTGATGTCAGTGGCAGCTTGGCCTAGAAACCTTAACAGCCATGACTGTGATTAAGGACACAGTCATGTTCTTCTTTGACTCTCCCAAGGCCTCAGTGGGTAGCCCTGGGTACTCATAGGTGCAGGGTGCTTGCTCTGTGGCAGTGCCGACACTGGATCCCGAGTAACAAAGGAGACTACAAGCCCGCCATTAATGTGTATTTATAAAGGGACTCCTCGAGGACAGGGTCTGTGCAGTGTTGCTTCTTCCCCTACTTCTAGGCAGTACTTTGCATACTACTGAAAGGGGAAGCTGAGATATTATCATCATCCCCACTTAGCAATAAGGAAAATGAGTCAGAGAGAGTGAGAGAGCACTGTGCCCATAATCTCAGATCTAACTAGGTACCGATTTAAGATGTGAAGCCAGGCAGGCTGACTCCAGATCTGTGCTCTTCCACATTTATACTACTTTCAACAATGTCATTTTAAATTTCAGATCAATAAAAAGCCAGGTATTCAGTATTCAAATTCAGAAAATTCAGGAAGAACTTGCTGCACACCTACATCTTGCTTCCATCCTTTGAAGATGGTCATTGCATCAATTCTTTATTTTGAAAACTAGTAATCGAAGGGAAAGAATTATACATTTACCATGTCTTTGCCAGCAGCAACTGTGACTTAGGGTAACAAAATGTCTCTAATCATCGAAGGAATGTGATAACTAAACAAAAATATAAGTGTTTCTCCCTGTAATCTCATACTTAAAAAGGGAGACTAAATTAAATTCAAAGACATGTTTTTCTTTACTAAATTTTCTTTTCTGAAATTCTTTACTAATTTTTCTTTTCTAAATTAAAGAAAAAAAAAAGCCATTCACAAATAATCTCTTTTGTAGATGTTGTATAATAGCAGAGAGTTCACTCTAGAGGGAGTCACTTGACCATTTTCCTCAGGACCAAAATAAGTTAGTTGCAAGAAAAAATTAATTTATGCTAATATCATAAAACCCTGCCAAATGTTTCTTGCTATCTACATTAACATTTAGGACCTAGTCCATGATACAAAGTAATAGAGTTTAACTATATTAATATAAATGTTGGCATTGATACAGTCATTGAAATTCTGCAAGATTTTTTTTAAAGATCACATTTATATTAATCTGCTAATGAAAAGCAAGGTAACCAGAGTATTATTAGATGAAGGAATGTTTGCTACATGCAAAGAATGTTCAAAAGGAGAAGAACATATAAGAGTAGAATTTTTTATAGACCTCAGTAAAGTTTCAGATCTTAATAGATGTTATTGCTCTGATTCCAAGAAAATTCCCATGGAAGAAAAACAGTAAGATATTTGATAAATTATTATTTATCAGGCAAGGTTTGAGGGGCCATGCCTCAAAATTCTTGATACACTGACACATTTTCTCAATTCTAGAAGCTTCTATTCATGTCCACTCGTATTCTCAGCTTACCTAGCTCATTTCTATAATTTAGTAAGTACATGTTAATGGCAAAAACTTGTGGGAAAATGTTCTTATGTGTCTGTGTTTGTAATTTGACATGAGCTCCCTAAACTAACTGAAAGCCATAAATTTCAAATAGCTTTCAGGCATTGCCATGAGTTCCAAGTGAAAAACTGAGAAGGTTGAAATAGAAGAAGGCCCCAGATCAACACGAGTGATTTATTTCTAGTAAATGCTGCAATGTAATGGTCAAATGAGACTAACAGAGATAGAACTTAGATGCTCACAAAATGTGTCTCAGTGAATAAATTTCAGTTGAATTCATCTCCTGTAAGAAGAGGCTGGAAGATGAATCATTGAAATATTCCAAAACCCTGGTATTGGGCTCACAGATTCCCTGGAACTGTCCCTTCTGTGATTGTTCTGGGACTAAGAAGTGGAGGCAACAGAAAACGAAGTGAATCGTTTGTCTGCATTGTGTCTCAACTGGCTACTCTCTCCTCTGCAGAAGTAGGTAGCATATGAGCAGCTCTGCTCAACTTCATCCTATAGTTATCAGGTTTTAGAAACTATTTTTCTTTGGCGCATTTGTTTCTAAACATCTTTCTTGAATATAATTATCCATTTTCTTAAGTTAGAAAATAAAATATAGGGCCTTCCCAGTGGTGCAGCGGTTGAGCACTGGGCTGCGAAGCTGCCTGCAGCCTCTGCAGCGCTGGTTCGATCCCTGGCCGCCGGGTGAGGGTCCCACATGGAGCGCAGACCTCTCCTGCCACCTGCTGCTCCCTTCAGCAGTGTACTTTGTCAGTCTGCCTCCTCTGCTCTCCGTTCTGACCCTGGTGAATTCTCTCGCCCTCCCGCGCTTCTGACTGTACCCAGTGCATGTATAAATAAATAAATAAATCTTTAAAAATTTATATTAAAAGAAAAGAAAAGAAAATATAACAAGCCCTAACAAGTATCTAACAGGGAAAGAAGTCCCACATGCCCTTTTAAAAATAGATAGGGGCCAACTCCCACGGGATGTGAGTAAAAAGGCTTTTGTCAGAGGGCTCTAAGCTACAATCACTACCTTTTGTCATTTTCTTCTCATCTACTTTCTCTCTATACCTTTAAAAAGAGTATTTTCTACTACTCAAATTACTATTGGACTTGGAGTTGACAGCAGCCATGATTGCATTTGGATTGAAATCACCTGCTAACTTTGGGCAGCCATGTCCTGTGGATAAGATGGGGCTGACAACTTCTTTCTCTTCTGTTGGGTATTAGAGGACCACGTGGAATGACGTATGCAAGGTGTTGTGTACATGGCTAACATCCTACAGGCCTGAGGTGTTGTTCTTTATAAATTGAACAGGACAACTTTAGTAGTTACGAGATTACCACCCACTAGTTATTTTATTAGACTTGAATCCTTTGCAATAGCTCAGGTTTTTTGGTCAATTTATGCAGTAGAATCCCTTGGAGAACTTTTAGGAATCACTAATGCTCAGGTCTAACCTCCAGAAATTCTAACAAACTAATAGGTAGCCAAAGATCTCCAAATCCAAATATATTTCAAAAGCGGTATTGTATTCAGATTTTTCTCTTGTTTTGTTTAATTTCAGAGAACCCTCAGTCCTGACTTGCCTGTTGGAGATGAATGAGTCAGAGGCTCCGGCATCTGCAGTTCCCGTTGTCCTGCAGAGAATGGGTCTGGAGGCAGCCTCTGCTCTGTGTTCCCTTTCTGACTTCAGCCCCAGAGAACTAGTGAGTCGTCTTCCCCTTTCAACAGCCCTGGAGTCAGCATGCTGTTCTTCCTGGCCCAACCACACTTGCTTCCTGCTGGGTTTATTCCATTCACAGGCTGTGCTGAGGCAGCTCTCACCTGAGCCCAACATGATGTGTAATCCTATCCGATTACCACCTGCAGGTCATTCAGAGGCTACACAAAGGCAGGAGAGGGAGGCAAGAAGAGGAGTCTTTATTTTCTGTGCCCTGTAGTTCTACATGCAATGGTATCTGCTTCCTTAAGACATCATTGCAGGTTCATCATAAATTCATGGAATGAGAGAAGTAAATGACCTTCCGGTCGTGCAGGCCAATTCTCACTCTCACAGGCTTCTCCTCCAGAACCACAGGGACTGCCAGTGCCTTGGGCACCACCAGCTCACTTGGCTTTGGACAGATGCACAGGTCTTCCTAGAGATGGCTGGTGGCCCAGGAAGCTTGGGATTCTGAACTGCTCACTCAGGAAAGATGCAGCCCAGTGGACCCTGTGGATGGATGGAAGACAGAGAGCCTTAACCCCTGCATACTGAGAGGGGGCTTCCTTCCATCCTAGATTAGTGGACAGTATTCCGGCTGACACTCGGATGCTTTGTCTCTGCCTCCACAATAGACCTATCTATAGTTCTTTTTCTCATGATTATTGATTCAAATCGTTCTTGTGGGTCTGCTAATCTTAAGTGGCCTGTTTGGCCACCATTTTTATTACCTGCAGTTCTGCATTCCTATACAAGTTCAGAACTGCCCAGTCAATTAGTCATAGGGACCAAACCTTACAAGGTGCCTTTCAAATCAAACAAGAGCCTAAAGCTTGATTGCTCTGGAAGGACTATGCATGACGAGATATGACCAGGAACTACCTGGGCCAAGGACCGAAATATGACAAGGGACCACAGAAGCTGATTAGAGGAAAGCCTTGTTGATAAGATTGAAACCAGGGCTGGGGACCTAGGGCTTGATCTCAATTACAATACCAAGTCATCAAGCAGATGAGAAGTGCCTGGAGGGCAGACTCACAACCCCTGTTACTGTAGATGACAGAGCACATTTTCTAGTTTCACCCCTCCCTTCTCTTTTAGTCCTCCTTCCCCTCACAACTGATGCTGTATAATTATTCTATCAATTAAAAGGCCAGGATCTTGCTCTTCGGTAGTATCCTGCATCCTACTGCTTGCTCCATGACCCCCGTTTGTCAGTGCGGTGTTGTCAACACAACAGTTGTCTTACTTACTATGATGTAAACTCCTGGAAGGTAGAACACATATTTGATTTAAGTTAAAATCTCCACAAGATCAATTAGAGTCACTTATACTCAATAAAAAGACATGAATGGGGGCCTCCCCTGGTGCCGCAGCGGCTAAGCACTGGGCCTCGAAGCTGCCTGCACCCTCTGCAGCGCTGGTTCGATCCCCGGCTCCAGCGAGGATCCCACATCGCACAACAGACCTCTCCTGCCGCCCGCTGTTCCCCTCAGCAGTGTATTTCTTCAGTCTGCCTGTTCTGTTCCCTGCTCTGGCTCTGATGAATTCTCTCACCCTCCCGCGCTTCTGACTGTACCCAGTGCTTGTATAAATAAATAAATAAATAAATAAATAAATAAATAAATAAATAAATAAATAAATAAATAAATAAATCTTTAAAAAAAAAAATAAGACATGAATGGGTGGATGGATGAAAGGGGCTGATTGGATTGTTTTTTCACACCACTTTAAAAATGAAAGTTGCCAAATAAAATATTACCTGAGCAGTAGGACAGCAGGAAGAAAGAGGATTTTAAAAAATTAAATGAGGTTCAGGAAGTTCCAGTGGCTGGTCTTTGAGCAGCAGTCCGACTCCTTTCCCACCCATCACACATTTCAGCAAGCAGCTGGTCCTCTGCCCTTTTACTCAGCCCTTGCGCGTGAGTAGATTTCCTCCATGCTGGGCTTCGCTCACTGGCACTAGACAAGTTCCCTATTGATGTCCACTGAGGTCCAATGCCAATTTCTGGCAACTCTTCTGCAGTCAAAAGTTAGCTCCAGCCTCAAGGAAAATAGTTTTTGTTTGTTTGTTTGTTTGTTTGTTTGTTTGTTTGTTTGTTTAGTGTGCTAGTTGCAGTTTTGCATTTCCCTCTGTTCACTGGCAGCACGAGTTAGCTGGATCTAGCAAGATCACTTTGAGACATGGCCGTGTCGTGACTGAGCCTGCTGCTGTACCTGTGTGTCTGCACACAGGCTGGGCCACCAGTTCTTTGGGGAGGTAGGGTTGCATGAGGCACATGCTCACATCCAGGGTTTGCAAGTTTGCAGGCTCTCCCAGGTAAAGACCACATGCGCACCAGTGGCGGTACAGAATTTGCTCTCAAAGATTCCTTTTGCAGAGAAAAAGAACCACATGAGGCCGCTTATTTGTAGGATTTGCTTTTTTAGCTGAGTAGCCAAAACAGTAACATTTACGTTTTAAGGAAATCTGGTACTGCTTCTATATTTTCCACTCACATTTGTCTAATCAGGAAGCAGGTTCTGGTTGTACTTTACCAAGATGTTTCCTAGTGTGTACTTTTATTTCTGTTCACCTGAGAAATAGGTAGAAATAGGCCACTTAATGCATCATTTCAAATCCAAGTTCACATTCAAAGTATATTATGGAATGAATTCTGAGCTCAGAAATGAGAGCCATGCTAGAGAACATTTGAGAGGCACCACATCATGTCCTTAGCTGCTGGACGTCAATGACTAGACATGGCTGACTTTTGCACAATGTGTCCGGATTTCCAAAATGTACAGCACTACATTACTGATTTTGTCAACCTTCCAAAATAATCAGGACATTTGTCAGATGGGGAACTTGAGACCGTAAGAGTCTAAGGGGCATTTTTATTTAATTCAGATAGATCCTGTGTCCAAAAAAAAAAAAATCAAGATGATTTAATTAAGACACTTATACAATGTTGATAGTCAAATAAAAATTTAAAAATCACAACCACCAAAAAGAGAAAGAAGTAAATCATCCACACAAGCAAGCTGATACACTTGATGTGAAGTGCAAATAGTCCTCTGAGTTTATCTGCAGCCAGGACAGAAAGGTCATCATGAGAAATTAGCTCATTGTTATTAATGGAGAGAAAGAGGGGATGGGAAGAAAATGCCACTTTCTCAGAGAACCAGTATTCTTTTTATCCTAGTAGTAGAACCTAAATGCAATTCCTTATCGGAGACTTTGAAAATTGGCAATGACCTTGACAACAGATTTTACAGCAAATACAAAAAATTAATATAATGTATTTTTAAAGATACAAATAACTTTAAAGGTACAGGGATTCTATTTTCTTGATATGAATTCTATAAAGTCTCCACAAAAACTCTATGAAGTATTTTCCAAATTAAGAAATGGAGGCTTAAAGTGCTTAAGTAGCTCTCTCAATATCAAAAAGCCAATAGCTTTGACATCTTAAATTCTGAGGACAAGACACTACAATACAATTACATAAAGGCAAATTTGGCAAATTGTTCAAAATGTTGTCTTCCAGCGGATGACTTCAGCCAACAATAACTCTTGGATCCAAGGAGTGAATGGACAGTATGTCACAAATTATTTTCTCTAAGGATTATTTCTCTTTGCTGGACTTGAGATAAAATCTAATTAGCCAACACTTAGAGGTTGTATGCTGTCTCAGACTGCTGGTTGAATATACCCTAAAAGAGTCACCTAAGGTTATAGAAGGACTTGCGATCCAGCCAGGTTAAAACCCAAAGCCCTAACTGTTGCCAGGTCACAGATCATCCCGCTAATCAAATTAATCTCTCCCCACTCTATAGTCATGGTCCTTGAGACCAAAGGTTGTCTAATATATGTAATATACTTATGTCCATAAATAAATAAAATTTTATTTTTATAGAAATTTGTTAAGACTTTTTTGTAATTTTTTTAATTGAGGTAACATTGGTTTACAACACTGTGCATGGTTTAGAGAAGTAGGTTCACACCTCTTCAGATGTATGTTTGTATGTGTATGTTTTAATTTGTTATCACATAGTCCTCAAATAAGAAGGGTTGCTCAAATAAGAAGGAATTATGTAATGAATCTTTCTGGAAGGTGTTCTGTGTTGGAAGTCAACTGAGGACATTCTCCTCAGGAAAATTCACATGAAGATAAGTTTCCATAACCCCAGTGCTTTCCATTTTCTTTTCCACACAATGGTTTACATCCCTTAAAGCCTGCCATTCAGTTTCAGCAGCCTTCTAGCGGTAATAACACTTAATAAAGCCAGCTATGACTCATTCCAGTAACTCCCAGAGTAAAAAGTTTGCTGAGAAATGTTAGATTCTTTCCAATAGGATAATACTTTTTGAAAAATGAAGACTATTAGAACATTCAATGAATCACAGGTAGTTGCCACAGGTAAGTACTTATATAACAACAAATCTGTCCAATTTAGTGTAGCAAAACAGTGTACTATGAGGATTAAAAGTACATGCTATGCAATTAGAAAGACCTATGCCCAGAGAGTAGATTTGTGAAGTTGACAGGTATTTATCTTTCCTAGATTTCAATTATCTAATCTATACATTGGAGATAATTTCTTTTTTTCTGAGTATTACTGAATTATTACATATAAAATCATTAGTAAGAGTCTGATACAAAGTAAGTGTATAAAAACTGTTAATAATAGTGATTATAATGTGCAAGAAACTAAGGAAAGGGCTGAAAGAGTAATATATTTATATAAGACAATTCTAATTCACAAGAAATAAATTTAAGCAAAGTTCAAAAGAAGGAGTAATTAATTCTTAATGGGACTTTGTCAGTGAGCTTTTGCCGTGTAACAAATTATCACCAAAATTTAATGATTTAAAAAAATATTCCGGGCCTCCCCGTTGGCACAGCGGTTGAGCACTTGGTTGCAAAGCTGCCCACAGCCTCTGCAGCGCTGGTTCGATCCCCGGCCACCAGCGAGGGTCCCACATGGCGCGACAGACCTCTCCTGCCGCCCACTGCTCCCCTCAGCAGTGTACTTTGGTCCTTCTGCCTGTTCTGCTCCCTACTCTGGCTCTGGTGAATTCTCTCACCCTCCCGTGCTTCTGACTGTACCCAGTGCTTGTATAAATAAATAAATAAATCTAAATAAATAAATAAACGTTCCAAGGATATTGAAATGACATTCATTTTTTGGGCCTCCCTGGTGGTGCAAGGGGGTAAGCACAGCACTATGAAGCAATCCGCAGCCTCTGAAGCA